AACACACAGTGATGGAAAACAGGGCGAGAAGTCAAATGTCAGAGGTTACAGTATCTCACCTTCCTATTGGCTCAACCCTGATTCTGGTGATGATGTCACTGCGAGTAAGGAGTGAGAGGAGATGCTGCCCTTCATATAGAGATCACCTCACAGCCTAGGATCCAGCAAAACCCAGACTTTCCAAAACCCAGTCTCTTGGCAGGCAGATTTTTCCATTGGCTCTGTAACTTGACAAGGAAAGGTATCCATTTTGACACATATACCTCTGTGCATGTTAATTTTTAAACACAAAGAGTCAGTGTCAGTTCAGCGCAATGTTTGTGTATTCCTGCGCCAAAATATAAGAAAAGAAAAAACAAAACATATATATATATATATATATATATATATATACACCTATCTACGTGTAAAGCTAACCGAGACTTGTCATTTGCACTTTCATATTGTCGCTCTTTTGTTAGGTTTGATTGCTTCTATTGTCATCATTTGTTTAAATAATTTTGGATAAAAGCGTCTGCTAAATGACTAAATGTAAATGTAATGTAAATGCATAACCTGACAGAAAGCACTGACCAAGGGTTAACCACAGAGCTGTGACCCCAGGCCACATAGCTGGCGCTCTCATCTTCACATTTCTGATTTTTGCAATGAGTTTTAAGTGACTGTTAATATGATTTTTTGTTAGTCAGTGTATTAAGTCACTACAACTTACTGAATAATTAGTGTCTCATCTAATCACTCAATGAGTGTTTCATCCGCGGAAAGACAGGTGATTGAAAACACTGTCACATAACCTCAGAAAATCCATCCAGTGTCCATATACTATAGCGAGAAAATGTGCACTAGAGAGGAGAATTTAGCAAAAATTACATTTATTATATATTTTTACTCATATAATTACTCTTTTTTGATTATAATTAATAAAAATGTATAGATATTACTTTATTATAAAAATGGTCTATAAGAACTTCTAGTAACTTTGAGTATACAAATCAATTGTTACTTTTAACCTTAACAATAGGGTTCCCTGTATAGTTTAATTTAGAAAAATTGAGAAAAAAAATAACACGTACTCAATCGCAAGCTTGTTCATTATTCCTGAATAGTTCTTCACTCCAGGCTGAATTCAAAAGTTTGCAGCCTTGTTTGAAGTAAGTTGAAGTTTTAGATTTCCTGAGCAACATTTACAAAATTCACTGTATAAGTTAATGTTAGATCTTTTGCTCCAACCGCTGGTTAATCAGATGATAGAAATAAGAGAAATAAGTCCCAACAGACTAACATTTGAAGTTACCGTAGGAATGTATAGCTGTGTGGGGTAATGTGAAGTAATCAGCAATCATAGGATTTATTCATGCTTTTTTATGCCAGGTTGGAGTTATACACTGATTTTCTATCATGGTCTAGGATCCCCTGAATTAGCCTTGGCCACCCCATGTATAAAACTCTAGCTCCGCCACTGTATGTGCTGACATTTATTTCTCATTAAAAAGACCAGACCAGTTTATTTAGTCTCACATCAATCGCAAACTGAGATGCAATTTCCACAGAGAGTTCAAGAGGTCCAGGCTCAGGACCGAGAAACCGACTTGCAGAGTAATTGAAATGTAGAGCTCCTCCTCTCCTCGTCTTTCCTCTTCACTCTTCACTTTATAAGACTGCTGTGTCTCTTTGAATGAAGAGCTCTGAACTCTGCGTGTGTGGAGGAGTGTAATAGACTGACCTTTCAGTAATTTTGTCATCTCGTTCAAATTCACTTCAGGCCTGTTTTCTGACATTCTCTATTCATTCAACCAATTAGCACTTCATGCATCTGCCTACTCTCCCTTGGCTTTTGTGGAAGTCTCAGATTGAAAGCTTCTCTGAGGAAAATAAGGAATTAACTGAAATTTCTTTCAATATCCTGATGTCCTCCAGCTGAAAAGAAATCTCTAACATCAGACCGCAATGTTAAGTTTGATTGAAGTATGAATACAAATTTTATCGATAGTGTGCTGAGTGGCTTTTCAACAAGTTATAAAATTGGAAAAATTATTCACTCTATATCATCTTCATATAGCACTGCATACATTATATCAGTCAAAAGTTTAAAAGCACTTTACTGAATTTACTGGGGTTTTGTGTGTGTGTGATCCTTTTGATCTAAAGACTAGAAACCAGTTTCAAGCATTTAAGCTTAAGATTAAACTTAAATTTAATTCATTTTGTAGATAAATTGTGCCATATGAATTTCTTTATAAAACTAAAACTGAAAAGATGAAAAGAATGAGCTGAACTGGATAATGAAGTCAACAAGAGCTTCAGCTTACATGTAAATTCCTTCAGTACTGTCTAAAAAGCAATTGTGGATTAATTTACCTGTATATATTATACACACACACACACACACACACACACACAAAGAAAAACAAGTAGATAGTGGAACAGATTAACTTTGTTTAACCAAAGTGAAGTCATTAGCATTTTTTGTATGCTGAAATTTCAAACACAAATATGTCGAGAGATACAAAAAAGTTGTGGACATATTCAAAATTATGTAACTGAATATTCAAATATTGCATGATATTATTATATATTATTAAACAATATTAATAAAATGTATTATAATAAAATAACATCTTTATATTCTACCATTTAATTTAGTATTACTTTGTAAAATTGCACTGAAGAAATATGACTGAAATTTTTTTTTCTAAAAACTAATTAATAAAATTACTATTGTTTTTCTAAAACAAGGACTCTAAAAGACATCTGTAACGTAATCATACTTTACCATACCTCCTATTAAACTGCAAGCACAATTGGATATCCTGTAGTTTAACTGATAGAACTTTGTGCCAAGATCATGGGTTTGTCTTCCAGTGAACAGACATAATCATGATATATACATATCCTATTGTTTAAATGTTTTTTTTTTTTTTTTTTTAATGCTTTTTTGAACAAGGATGCATTATGTTACAAAAGATTTCCATTTTGAATTAATGCTATTCTTTTGACTTTTCTATTCATCAAAGAATCCTGAAAAAGTTACACAAAAATATTAGGCAGCTCAACTGATTTCAACATTTATAGCATAACTGAAAAGCGTCATTCAGCTTTGCATCACACAAATAAATTACATTTTGAAATATATTGAAATGTGCTGAATGTATGGAATGTCAGGTGTCGAGGAAGAAAGACTGTAACAATAATCATGATTTTATAGTGAATCCACACTCATGCTCACAAATGCAGTGTTTGCAAGATATTGTTTAAGGGAACAAATGATGGCAAACATCTTCATGTTTTTAAAGGCCAGTTTCTAGATTTATTTGCATTAATGATGCCCAGATAGACTCTGCAGTGGTGAGCAATCCCACAACATGAATGAATTAATGAATCTGTCACACTACTTGTGCAGCAGCAGATGCAAAAGGCCTGGTGCTCCCTCTGCTGCACAATGCATGTAACAAAGATTTAAAAAAAATGTATGCATTTTAAATGACATATAAGAATCTGTTAAAAGCAATATGACAGATTTTAATGTGATATTCTAAACATGAACAGGCTTTTTTACATAACCCTCAGACATACAGATCTAGAGTTCCAGTGTGACACATAAAAACAACTGCAACTTACTTCGGCTGTCTGATGCTTTTATATATTAGAAGGGCTTTCCTCTGTGAATCTTTATCGCTTGGCAACAGAAGCTGTAAGGCTTGAGGGTGATTGGAGGAGAGGAACGCAAGGTAAAGCGTGACATTCAAGAAGCAGTGAATGAGTCCGTCCCCTCCACCTTCCATCAGTCAGAATGGATTGGGAGAGCGGCAGACCAGAAAAAGGAAAAACACAAAGTGTTCAAATAAACTCTACAGGGTATCCTTTTCTCCTAGCTCATGTGGCCCCAAAAACACCCCAGGGCACCAAAATGTAGGTAAAAGGCAGAAATTACGGTTGAGGCAGTAAAAATAATCCGTCCTGACACTTACAAGCTCCCACAGAGACTTGAAGCTCTCTGCTTATAAAATATTGAACAGCTACTAACACAATTCTGTCTCCCAGAGCTGTCTGCAATTCATCTCAGAAAAAAAGCTCAATAGGAGGTGCAAAGACTGCAGGGAATGATAAATGGGGGTGGAGTCGTGGCCTAATGGTTAGAGAGTCGGACTCATAACCCAAAGGTTGCGGGTTCGAGTCTCTGGTCCGGCAGGAATTGTAAAAATGGCTACTCATTCTCACCAGCAGAGGTCAATGTTTTCAAAGCATTCACATATGATGGCTCTGCTCAGTTTGCTGGTGAGTCTGCAGCAGCGGAGTGTAAATGGATTTATGAATGTGTATTATTTGCATAAACCAATCAACTAATAAATAAATTATATTTATTTATTTATTGGTATAAATTATACCGATATAATCGTATAATATTAATTATGGATCATAAAAGCAGATTGCTGTGGCAGTGAAAAGGTCACTGACATATGATTTAGTGAATGCCCAGACAATTACAATCTGTGTTAAATAAATGTAATAAATTAATTTAGATGAAACATTATTCATATTAATAATATTAATAATATCATCATTTGAGAACACAAACTGAAAAAGTTAGAACTGCAATTACAATACAAAAGAAAACTCCATAAGAACAGCCATTATATTTGTAGGATTATATAATAAGTGTGGAAATTTTATTTAAATATGTAACTGAATATTAAAATATTTTATATGAATCAATATGGATCATATTATATTAAACACTTGTGTATCCTACCATTTAACATTATCATTTGAAAACACATGTTACAACTGCTTTTAGAAAATTTGAACTGTAATTACAAAACAGTTGCTAAAGTTTGCAATCTCTCAATTTTTCTGATAAACTGAACTTTTCAGTCTGGTCAATGAGAGGCTGCTTTCAGTGCATGCGAGCTCCTGATGAGGTCTAGCTGCCTCCCGGTGTCAATCAAACAATGGCGTCATGTATCCCCAGCGTTTCCGGTGCAGGTAGGCGGGGCTCTGCTATCCCGGGTCTGGATTCTTCGTTCGGGAGCGCTAGACAAGGCTGAACACGAATGCAGCCATATTCGGCTCCACAGAGAAGCACACCGGCTAGCGCAGGTTTACACGCAAGGATTCGCCTACTTAGAAAAAGCACCCATTCCCGGTTTTTGGGGGGCGTGTTTATGTAGGTTAAAGGTGTGTGTAGTTCTTCGTTAGGGAGTTTATCATTGAAGATTTCCAGTTGATGAGCGTCCGGTCATCCTGAGATTCGACGGGAGAAAAGCCCGACACATCCCGCAAAGTGGAACTACAGATTTGTCCGGATTAAGGCAAATGGAGCCGACAGGGCCTCGGGAGTGAGGAGGGGGGTGGAAACGCTGGAAAGCAGCGGAAAACAACCGGGTTAGGCGCATTAGGGCTTCGTTTATCTAAGCACAATGTTAGGCACATTTTGCTAGCTGGATGGCTGGCTAGCTGTTGGAGTCTGGAACTTCAGAGCTCCACACATATCAGCCAGATAAATACTATTTGTATATATTTATAACGCTCATCCTCGGTATATTAATCTCAACAAGAGTTGTTTTATCCTTTCTGGCTGTGGGAGTGGTAGCCAGGCCGCTAAACTGGTAGAAAATGTCTGCGAAGGTGCGCCTGAAGAAGTTGGAGCAGTTGCTGCTGGATGGCCATCAGAAAAACGACAGGTCATTGAGTGTGGAGACACTGCTGGATATTCTCATATGTTTATACAACGAGTGCAGCAACTCGCCCTTAAAACGGGAAAAACATGTGACGGACTTTTTGGAATGGGGTAAGTTGATGTGTTTTGGTGTACTGACTGCATTTGGGTATAGAAATCAGTGCGTGTGCCTTTAAGACCTGTTTATCTGTAATTACATTTGCCTTAATCACCCAGCTGACTTCAGGCTATTGTCAAAGTTGCTGCCGTGACATTTGCTCTTGGGATTCCTGGCCTTATTGTTTTGACAATACTTCTTGTCATCTAGCTGTTCCAGCTTTAATATTCAACAGCAAGGATGTATACATGTTTATGGATAGTATAAGGGAAACGGTGCAAAGTAGATCCTGCCATTGAAGTTTAATCTGTTCATGGCTTTATAACTTTTTGAGGGTTTGTTTTAGAGATGTGTGTGTATATATGTATGTATATGGTGATGAGGGCATGGAGCTCATCCTCGAGACGAAAAAGCCCCCACAAGTTTTATTCAATTTTAGGCCCAAACTGAGCAAAATATGCAGTTTGTTGCAGGTATTGTTTTTTTTTTCCTATAGGCAAAAAATAATATTAAATTCGGATTGCTTGTAATGTATATGAGTTTTATAACAGTCTAACAGACTAGTTACATAAAATGCATGTAATTGTCAGTTGCTACTCTATAACTGAAAAATATGGTGTATATTAGATTATAAGATAATATTTAAATGCTAAGTTTTATTTTCAAAAGTCTGTCTTTTTAATTGTGGGGGCAGAACATAACATATAATAAAATGCAATATAATGATGATTGAGAGATAAACAAATGTTCCTCAAATGCCTGATTTATTATATTTTATACAATTGTAACATGACTTTTCTAAAAAAAAAAAAATGTATGGATAATCAAGTAAACCTAAATTGCTTCAGTCCAGTAAATGTTCACCTTGAAATATTAAAACCAAATGAAGTTCTTGCATTTACTTTATAAAAATCACTAAAGATTTCACAGCAGAAAGACACATGAACCCCAGCCTGAGGGTGGATGTTTTTAAAATTAGAAACTTTCAATCAGATGATGAAAGGTATGTAGTAGTAGATTGTGTACAACAGGTTTTTTAGGAATATCTGCTCACATGCATAATATAGAGACCTTAGAAATTCATCAGATATGACACAGTAGGCTTTATAGGGTTAATCAGATATTGCTGATAAATATCGGACAAACCAGTTGGACTTTGTTTTCGAGGTTAATGTAAATATTTCCCTTTATAAAGTTTGGGCACATGGATTCCTGTTGATGTTCTTGCATTTATGCTACATTAGTTGTTGCTTTTGCCATTACCATTTGCTTGAGTGTGATGCTCATTAATCAGTCTGACAGGACTGTCTTTCGGTCATTGTGGTATTTAAGAGTCTGTTGCTTTCTGGAAGAGTTCAGTTTAAAATGTAAACAGGACTGCAGTAGGTGGGTTGCCCCTTTTTGGGCTCTTCCTGGTACTTTTGATTGAGGTTGGCCTTCACAGTGAGTGGATTCTCTGTCCTGGGTGTTGGGTTGACGTCAGTAATGAGATTACACCCAAGTGTGTCTGCTCCTCTAAAGACCGCCAGTGTCCTCGTGCAACCCGTCACTAGCAGGTGCCACCTCACATCCCATCACTGTGAGTGAGCCATAGTATGACCCAATTTCCAGGAGTCATAAACTCCTCTGTTCTTGTCTTACTGCAACACTGGCAGGCCACACGCTTTCTTATGGCGCCCTTGATTGTGGAAGTTAACGATTTACATGGATGTTATGCTGGCGCCGGTTAAACACAAGCAAAGCAATAACGTCATTGTAAAGTGCAGTGTTGGCAGAGTGATATTAGCTCTCAATATGTGCTTTCCATTTTATAAAGTGCTCCTCAAGTGAAGATCTTAGTATAACCGTGGAATTGTAGTACAATTGTCAGTTTACCTTTTCTGGTAAATACCATATCTGCTATTCACACATGGTTTTCTGTCTTTTAACTTTTGTCAGTTTTGAATTGCTACTGTTGGCACATCAACTCCAAAATGGTGTTAAATCTCTGTGATGTTTGCTGGAAATGAACGATTGACAGTTTTGGTGGAAATATAGTAAGATAATAAGAGAAGCTCTAACTGCAGTCTGTTGACTGAGTTCTTCATCTGCTGATATAGCGAGAAGCTTCGTTTCAGTGTCTGTCCAATTTGATGACATTTAGATAATCACAGTTTTTGTCTCCCACTACATTTGTTGAGTAATTGCGTTAGCTCTTTCAGAACTTTCTGATTGGCTGAAACACTTTGACGCCAGACTTCTTGTTTAAGAGTGTCCTGACCTTATATGTGCTTGAACACATCATTTTATGGCTGTGTACTAGGGCTGCAACAAACGATTATTTTGATAATTGATTAATCTAACGATTATTAGAACGATTAATCGACTAATCACTTATTTCGCTGATTAATCAGTAGACATTTATTGATTATTCAGCTTTTGCAATTATTTAAAATATTAAGTTATACATATTCTAACATAAATTAAGGTAATCACTTCAGCTTTTGAAAGTCATATGATGTAATTACAATTAAACAATACATTTATACAAATAAATATATTTGGCACACAAAATGAGATGGCAGAGAAACTCTTATTCACCATTTAATTAGCTATATGAGAAAGTAGCTGAATGACACATCATTCTGCCTAAAATCTCTTTTTGTAAGTCATATGGATAAGAAACAAAATAAAGGTTAAGTGATAAGATGTTTTATTTCTGGATAAACAATTTTATTCACAACAATCTCTCTTAAAATACCTTATAGGGTTATGATAATCAAAACAGTCCTGAGCTAGATCAAGCTTTGATCTCTGCAAACCAAACTATAACTTTAATTAAACGTTTTTTCCCCACTAATAAAAAGATTTCTTCATTAGCTAGCTCCACACTGGAGAGCTGCTTTATAACAGAAAATCAAGTTGTAATTCTAACTGAAAGCGACACTGACTCTGGTTTTTCATGTTTAATACTGTAAAGCTGCTTGATTTAAGGCTATCTATTGCATAAAGTACTATATAAATAAACGTGACGTGACTGGACTTTACTGAAATACCGAACTGCAGAGCTCCTACAAACATCCACATCGCTGTAATCATATGCGTTTTAAACTGCTGCTTTCTCACTGCTGTCCGTTTCTGTTGTTTATTTCGTTATTGAGAGGAACGCGCGCAGTATATATTTACATATTCATCCAAATGCCGCTCAGCAGCCTCAGGTTCGAGAAGGGTATAACTGCAGCCTGGAGATCTCCAAATGGGGGCGGGAACGCCAAAACGGGGTGGAAGCTCCAAAATAGGGCGTGGCTTCCTCCCATTGACAGACAGGCACATGACACGCATACGCAATTTTTTTCCCCCAATCCACTTCAGTGCAAACTCCGCCCCACAGCTGATTCTAACGATTGTATTGGTTGTGTCAATTAAAGTGTTGATTTCCTACACTATGCTACAAAAAATGCTAACCCTTAAACCTACCCCACACCTGACCCTAACCTTAACCAGTGAAATTGATTGCACGGCGGGATTGGCGCTGCGTGGTAAAGAAAGTTGCAGTTCAGGAGATAAACGGTTAATAAGATTATGCGATATGAGATCGTTCCGTAACTCCCCAACCGGACCTCACCAGACAATGGCACCTTTTTAGTTACACCCAGCGTCACTACCC